TAATATTAAAAAAAGCATTTTATCATTGCTTAAAAATAGGGTAGTTGCTTGTTTTTCTCTGGCCTGGCCCACACACAGTTTTCTGTACCAATATCACTGTGTCAGTTAAGAGTGTGATTTAAGAAACAAAAACAAAACTGAAATAGTTACAGCAGTAGAATTCCTAATGTGGGTGCAGTTATACTTAAAGATGCCTTTATAACAGTGTAGTTTATTCCCCTTCCTTTATGGGAAAAAGTTATACTGGTATAAATCTGTTTATACCAGTATAACTGCATCCACAGTAGGTGGGTTGTACTATAGCCAGTATTGTTTTTGTGTGTAGACAGGGCCTTAGCAGTAGATTGTGTTAAACATGTTGGCTGCTTCAGGATGCACATATGTTTGTGTAGATTTACCAAATGCAAAGGTAAACATGCCTGTTTCTGGACTAATGAGAAAATTGTTAGTTTTTCATGCTCTTTGTGATCAGATTATTTCAATGGGTTTTTATAGTGCATGCCTGCCATGAGCATAATTAACCTGGAGCTCATCAGTGATTAAAATTACATACTAAGCTTTGTGATGTTTGATTCAGGAGCAATTAGACTGTCATTTTAGCCAACTCAGATACCAAAACTAATTTTGATTCGTTTTCAATCTATGCAGATCTTCTGATGTATCATAAACTGATCACTTCCTCTCTTTGATTTAGCTGACAAGATTAAATTTGATTAGTTTAAAAAATTAAGCAACCATCCTTCATACTTAATATCTCAGTGACCTTCACTGAAGACACTTCTAGGCAAGGACTTTTTTTTATTAATTACCAAAATCACACTGTGAGATTGGAATAGTGTACAGCTTTATATATTGTCTGGCAAAGTAAAATGTGTAAATTAGGTTGGCTTTCCCTTGCTTGTAAATGAAAGATCAGAGAAAATATGAATGCTTAGAATATCTAAAACAATAGTTTTCAGGATATAATCAAACTTTTATATGTAATTGAAAATGTATCGAATAAACTGACTACTGTGTATATTCAAAAATTGATGAGCTCTATCACTCTGACTTATGATGGGAATGAAGATTACTTACCTGCTGCATAAAAGCAAGACACAGTCTCTGTCATAAGCTGAAAATAAACACTAAAATTTCAGACCCCTCCGCTTAGCTGTTGTATACAGTGCCATCATTCTGCAAACTGAGAGATCTGCAATGACTCAGAGTAGCTTAAGCAGTAACCAGGCTACTATTACAGTAGCTGGAGCCTTGTGGGCTCACAAAAAAATGAAGAAAAGCAGACTTTTAACCAATGTGTGCCCAACTTTCCTCTGGTGCTTTACCCTGCTGCCAGACACTGATATGGCTTTTATAAAGTGCATCTTGTTCTCAACAAAGGGAGTTTATGGTCTAAGATGCCTTCCTGCAAGAAATGATTGAAGGATTTTCATCAGTAGTGCTTGCGTATGATTTGTTAAGCTAGGGGAGATGTTGATTGAGGCAGTGGTCGAGAGATGGGCAACTCACCTGGAGTCAAAACAAAAAAAAAGAATTCGCCTTCCATTTTGAAAA